TCGCGTCCCGCTGGTGCGCGGCGCACCCCCGCTCTATCATGATGGTCAAGGCTTGAGCTTGAGGCATAAATGGCAGGCGGACGTACCCGTTCGACTCGGGCGCGGGGCATAATTTGTTCCAACTTAATTTTATCTCGTGAACCAATTGAGATATCACTCCTGGCTGTTAGGCCTTTGCCAGTTACAAGCTCATGAGGAGGTCTACTTTAGGTACTCTTCCAGCGTGTTCCCTCCAATTCCATATCAGTCAGCATTTAGTCAGCACCTCGGCCATCTCTCGGGCTTGTGCTGGATTGCTAATCTCCAACAAAACATTGTTTGTACGATAGATAATTTTAGAGATTTTTTTCCCCCCACAAGATGAAACGTTATGAAACCCTGAAGCCTTCCCGCGCGCAGCGCACCACTTCAAAGTTCAAGTTGCACTCAAAGAAACCCAGGCACGTGCCATGTCACTCACGTCCCTGGTGCGCGGCGCACCCCCGCTCCATATATTTCCGGGAAATGGTTGGCGGAGGTTCCCGTTCGACTCGGGAGTGGGACACTTATTTCGTGCACAGGTTTCATTTTGTCCCCTCATGCTGTTTACCAAGACTCGCAACTCGCTTAACAAAGCAAAACTTCGACGCACTTCTGGAACTTTATGAAAAGACACAATTTTGAAGCTACTGAAAGTGGCAATTCCAGTTAACGACATAAAAAGAAAGGACCGAAAGATAGCTTTTTTTTTCGGGTAATTGCAGACAGAGCAGGCCTGCCAGTGTACCGGCATGGAGCTGCGTTACGTTTAACTTCGAGGTTCGTCCCTCTGTGAAATCCATACCCACGCTTGTACCGTACAGGTGTACGTGCACTGCACTGTCACTGCCCTTCAAGTTGCCTTCCATCTCATCATCGTAGCATAGATATCAGTCATCATCTCCAAGTTCCCACGAACGAGTGGCGCATTGCACAGCACAGAGAAATCTTTACAAGCAGGAAGAGTAAACCCGACTCGGAAAGGCCCGCGGCGTACTTTGCACACTGATAAACCGAGGCACTCAACCTGGCACTCGTGTCCCACTAGTGCGCGGCGCCTCCACGAGAGTAGGAATGAATGGTTGTCCGTTCGACCCGGGAGTGGGACATCGACAAGATATAACAAGGCTCCATTTTTTACCAGGACAAAGATAATCCCCGACGCTCTCTCGCACGCACAGTGCAACTTCACAAGAGACCCGGTACTACTCGACTGTCAATCACCCCCGCTGTATGTTCTGATCCGTGAGACTAACGGGAGGCGGGCCCCGTTCGACTCGGGCGCGGGACACCTTGAGTAGAGGAGTCGGTCCTTTGTTCTTTTCTCGAACTTCCCCTTCCATGTTGTTTTTTGACGTGTCGTTGCGTGGCAACACTTTTTTCCCACAACATATAAACCCCAATGTTCTCTGGCCGCACAACTTCAAGTTGCGCGCTCAAGAAACCTGGCACGAACTGCGTTAGCTGGTGCGCAGCGCACCCACGTCATATATTATAATATACTAGGGTTGCCCGTGAATAAAATTCACGGAGGAATTCATGTTGCAAGTCAAGCCAGGGAGCTGTCGTGCCGCCCGCCGCCCGCTGCCCGCTGCCGGCCACCGTGACAGTCCACTTATCCAACAACCCGCCGCTGGCCGCCCGCCACCCGCCGCGCGCCGTGTGCTGTCTGCCAGCTGCTGCTCGCCTGTCCCACCACTGTCCGCTTCCACCCAGCCTGTCCCGCTGCGGCGCTGACCCGCCGTGCGCTTGTCCGTCCACTGTCCCCCGCCACCTGCCTCGCCCAGGCCCCGCTAGGTCCTGCTGCTCGTCGTCCATCGGCCGCTTGTTTACCTGCTTGTCACTCACCTGCCGGTCCTGGCCCTGTCGCCTGCCGCTGGTCCCGGTTGTGAGATAATGACGGCGCGCACGCGGACCGCAAGAGCTCGTAATCACCTGATTAGAGTACGGGTGTGCCCGGGTGCTTGTAAGCATGAGGTCATTTGTCGCAGTTTGTCGCACCTGCATTGGCTGAGTCGGGTGGGACCGGGAGCTCGTAATCATGCTCATGTCATTTGTCGAGCACAGGGTTACCCGTGAATAAAATTCACGGAGGAATCCATGTTGCAGGGACCTGTCGTGCCGCCTGCCGCCCGCCGCCGCCCCGTGACAGCCCACTTGTTCAACAACCCGCCGCTCGCCGCCCGCCACCCGCCGCCCGCCGCGCGCTGTCTGCCAGCTGCTGCTCGCCTGTCCCGCCACTGTCCGCTGCCACCCAGCCCGTCCCGCTGCGGCGCTGGCCCGCCGCGTGCTTGTCCGCCCACTGGCCGCCGCCACCTGCCTCGCCCAGGCCCCACCGCCCACTTGCCCCGCTAGGTCCCGCTGCTCGTCGTCCACCGGCCGCTTGTTTACCCGCTTGTAACGGCTTGCTGCCCGCTGCCCGCTTGTACCGTCACCTGCCGGTCCTGTCGCCTGTCGCCTGCCGCTGATCCCGGTTGTGAGACAATGACGGCGCGCACGCGGACCGAGTCACGAGGTAGCTCCCACCTGATTAGAGTACGGGTGTGCCCGGGTGTTTGTAAGCGTGAGGTCATTTGTCGCAGTTTGTCGCACCCTCATTGGCTGAGTCGGGCAGGACCGGGAGCTCGTAATGTCGCTCATGTCATTTGTCGACCACATTTTATTATATATATAGATGAACAAGGAAGCAGGAGGAGGCACCCGTTCGACTCGGGAGTGGGATATAAACTTAAACTTGCAGTCGAATAAACTCAAGTACGCACCCCGTCACTCGCGTCCCGCTGGTGCGCGGCGCACCCCCGCTCCATGATCAGGTTTGTGCCATGAATGGAGCTCGAGGTAAGTACCCGTTCGACTCGGACGCGGGACTCTGCCGAATGGTTGAGGTATTTTTTTACAGCTGTTTGCAGTACTTCTGAAAAGTTTATAAGTACTGTATAAGAAAGCCAAAAAAAAAAACCTTTCTATTCCTTTGAGAATGAGATAAGGTTTCTCTACCCTCAGATGAAACCCTGAAGCTCTCTCACGCGCGGCGCACCGCTTCAAAGTTCAAGTTTCACTCAAAGAAACCCAGGCACCGTGCCACTCACGTCCCGCTGGTGCGCGGCGCACCCCCGCTCCATATACCGTTCTGAAATAATGCGATAGTTGGCGGAGGTTCCCGCTCTGGGACACTGTCAATGGATTGCCACGTCCTTCATGTTATTCGTCCCCTCATGCTTTTTAGTAACTGGCTCAACAGAGCGGAACTTCAAGTTCAAATCGCTCCCGACGCACTTCTGGAACTTTACGAAAAGATACAATTTTGAAGTTATGTTCATATACCTTTAGACTTTGACCACGGTCAGTTGGATACATCTAGGGTGCAGTCTTCCCTCATGAAGCTCAGCGAACTGGGAGCAACTGGTGGCGGACTGCTTCGGAGCTCTCGCTTCGCGCGCGCCTGAAGTCATCCTCTTGTCAGACTTTGGACCAGGGATTGATAGAGTATCTGGGCTGTCGGTTGCATCGTCAGCGTTCCGCTTGTCCCTTCTGGGCGACTCCCATCAATTTCTAGACCTCTGAACTTCTTGTTGGTCACTGTTTATTTGACCCAGAGGAAGGCGAGGACTATTAGACCGCGCGAAGCGTATTTTCTGACGACGGTATGCGCTTAACCTTGCTCAAACCCTCACATTTGCATACTGTATCGTGCAGGCAATTTGCTCAAAATCAACGAACTCACCCCGGCCAATCTCGAGACAGCAAAGACGAACTACAACATTCGCGAAATGCCGGAGGGCGAGATCGGAAAGGCAGCGGACTTCATTCCCGCTACCGTAAGGTACGGGTTTCTATAGGGCGTCCGATTTTTAGATTTTGGTCGTGCATCACATTTTCATTACAATGTCCAAATTCGCTGCAAAGAATTTGTCATTTTTGCTTGGTAGTTCAAACCCACATCACGGCCATCAGTTGTCATGTGAATACCCGCAGGTACGGGTCTATAACAGCGGAGATGCGGCATTACATCCCGCTGATCGGCATCGGCCGGCCGCCGCGGCATAGCTGCTTCGCTACAGTATAGGGCGCCCATCAAACTTTGTGTAAGGCAAAAATCCCTAAGCCAAAAAGCTTGCTTGCTACATAATTATGCTCACATCACCTAAAGCTACCTAAAGCCTTTACTAGTAGTAAAGCAAGCATAGCTCTAACATCTCGACTCTGACAGCGCGCGGATCAGTGCATGTTGTTGCACATGGGCGATGTTACTCGGCAAACATGACAGTGCTGAGCATGGCAGGTCTTATTCATTCAGGGGAAATTACATGCTCAGTGCTAGTACATAGTAGTCACAAAAAATTGTCTTCACCGAACTTAGTTGGGCGCAGCTACGTCACGGCTGGAAAAGTTTCAAAGTCGTCACATGTTGGGATAGCTGGACCTTCCCCCGATCTTTTCTCCTCCCTGTCCCCCTCACTGACTGGAAGCCCTTCCTGACCACTCCATGCCTACACCATGCTTCATTTATAGTCTTTCGTCTCCCAGCCCCTTTTGACCAACTTCTCTTTGTTCAAGTGATCGCTGCAGCCAGACTTCCGGCGATAGCATGAACATGAACATATTTGTCTGTGCCTAAATAACTCCATGGTTGGTTTATTAATGTATGATGACCACTCGCCTTCTCAAATCACGAAGTGGTGGATCGAAATTCGACGCGCATTTGAGATTGAGGATATTGCAGGAATAGGCGTAGGAAATCGTAGAACATATACACTTACAAAAACGGACAACCTTTATTAGCCCTTTGAGCGTATCAGTTCTGTTCGGATAATAAATCCTCGGATCAAACGATGTATTAATGTTTTGAATTGAAATTGAGCACAGGTGATTGAATGGCTACAGAATAATGCAGAGAGATTCCATGTATATGACAGACCTGAAGAAACCGTATATGCAAAAGACAACACCCGGTAAAAAGAAAAAGATGAGTTCACCACAGATGGACAGTTCCCGATTCGAACCGGACATCTCCTGCATGCCAGTTTTGCATTGCGAGATGCTCAGCAAGTGTGTTAACTAACTACACCACATGTCCAACATCCAGGAATCTGCGCGGGCCGTGAAATTGGTTAATGAAAGTCTGGGATTCCAAAGCAATAACACAGGACTTGGCTGGACATTGACGGGATCCGCCATTGATCAGCGGATCAGGTTGATATTTTGGAATCAACTTGAGCGTGGAGATTGAATGGCTACAGAGTAATGCAAAGAAGGAGATTCCATGTACAGGACAGGATGGGTGGGAATCGGTAGCGGCTACTAGCGGGAATAAGAACCCATACCTAAAGGTAGTGGGAATCTCTGGTCCGTCGTGCCGTGACGACCGTCACCTCATCAAACCGTCCCGTTGCCGTCCCGTCGAACAGCTGTTTCAAAGGCCGACGGAACGGGTCGGCTGCCCGTCGCACGGAACCCGTAAAACCAGGCGTGATGGGTGGTCTGGTTGGCCTTCCATAAAATTATAAATAAAGCCACAAAAGCGGGGACCGGCGCGTGCGCCGCTATAGATAACGATCTTGGGCCTTGGCGAAGCCGTAGCGCCAAGCATATCTCTCTTCGAGAGCTTGGTCTCATTCGGACCTTTGGATACGGATAACAGTCGTGTATGTCGGATTGTTATGCAGTGGACACCTGCCCTGTAATGCACTGCCCGGTGCGCCGTAGTAGTGTGAACGTGCTGTAATACAGTGCAGTGGTTCACTGCAGTACAGCGCTTGAATACACGTGTAAAGGCGATTTACCTGCGTCTACTTCCTAGTGTCCATACTTATATTTCGTGTACGGACAGGTTCATGCTTTTTTAATAAGTGAAAAGTTAGATATGTACATATTATTATCCTGCCAAGAGCATATCACTGCAGATCAAATTAGTACTTAACTCCGGCTCCAGAAGGTATTATTCAAGCGCTACCGCGCCACTCTAGCAGGCAGAACGGTATCCGCAGTACTGGTGGGCAAAGAGACGATCAGGACGGATGATTTTGGGAAGTTTGGGCCATGCTCTACGAGTTAAACTGCTGAAACTTGGAGGGAAAGTCGTCTTGGGCCGGCAATAAGACCAAAGTCGCCTTCCTAGTTAGGTATCCCATCAAATTCTACAATCGCCGAACCACCTGATTCGTAACAGACTCTGTACAGATACTTACCTATTCGCCTCCGTATTTCATTCCGCCCACGAGAGTGCCCAGTGTATAAATGACTGACAATAATCTGTGCTTTCGGAAGCCTCTTTGAAGAAGGCAGATTATTGTCATGGTCGTATATTTTCAGTGTGCAAGAAGGAAGCGGGATTCCGGGCTAGTGTCCTGAGGTCCAGGCACCCTGTCAAGTGTTATCATAAGCGTGGAAGGAGCGGCCGTTGAACTGCGCCAAACACTGGCATGTACAAAAAATCTGATTCTGCTTGATATAGTAATACTAAGAATGATACTGAAAGAACTGCTGCTGACAGGGTACTTCTAGTTCCAGACACAGTGGCTTGGCGTCGTACTTACAGTTGGTTGTCCGATGGAGCAACCCTGGCTGCAAACATCAACGACAAAAGCTTCAACTGGATCTTTATCAATCAGCCAAGTGATTACTGTCATAGGCATTAAGGCGTAAAAAACAAGAAAATGGATGCGACTACACTGGTTGTTCTGACAAAAATCGCCGTGGGGGCAACTTTCTGCTCCAAATATTCATTTCCAGATTCGTGTCATTACGCAGAGAGTCTCCTGGTCGCAGAATAGCTCCACATATCGCGGTACCCGAAAAGTATAAAATGAGGAATGCAACCCTCAATACAGCAACCCACTTGCCTCAACCACCGCAATGAAATTCATCTCGACCCCTCTTTTTACTCTCGCGCTTGCTGCTTTCGCTGTCGCCAACCCTCTTGAGGTCGAGAAGAGGTCCGAAGCTTGCGTCATCACTGGTGCCGGGTCTCGGTGCAGGCGCAGCCCCAACACCTCTTCCGACATCATTGGCGAATTCCAAGCGGGAAAGGTACGTCTTTTCGTCGCGACCATGTGTTTCAAAACGTTGTTGACACATAATAATCGTAGTCTGTCACCTTCAGTTGCACGACGACAGGCCCAAGCGTAAGCGGGAACACGTATGCATTTCGTATGGTTTATGCGGCGACGAGGCTGAATAATTACCCCAAGCCATTGGGATAGGACCACGATCGGGGGAGTGCAATGCTTCGTGTCTGATTCGCTTGTCGCCGGCCCGTGCCCAGGTACGTGGCCGCGAAAGACTTGGCGCGATTCTCTGACGCATTTGAATAGTCGGGCTGCCTGCTTGCGTTTTGTAAACGTTACTCGCAACTACGCGTCAAGTAATAATTCCTGAGTGAGTCGAAGGAAATGTAACAAAAAAAATTGTTTGAAAGAAAAGAAGAAAGCAAAATATATACTTGTCCCGAAGAACGATGTTTTCGATTAAAATATGTTTGCTGATTGTGCATAAATGTGACTTGTCTACTGTATTTTTCGCACCCGGCACGTGGTACTGTTTGTCGCTCTTTGCATTGTGCAACTTTGAGCCTCGGGGAGCTCGGCCTGTTTTGTTTGTTTCTTTACGCGCACGTTCCGGTGCAATCAATGTCGTCTTACAGCTGTTTGCAATATCGATGACACTTGCCGGATTTGGGAGAAAAGAATGTCCAGATTTCTCCCAGGGCTGAAGCTCTCAAGCCTTGCAAGGACTTTGTTCGGTTCTTTCTTGACATTTATCCCATGTATGAAACATTATTTCGGTTGACGTCGGCCCCTGCGTTCCGAGCCAAGCCAAGTCAAGCCCTGTCTGATGACATGGGCTTTGATTTCACAAATCCGAATCCGAAGCCGGCTAAACCAGGGGCCAAAATCGTGTCTTCAAGGCCAAGCCAAGCTCGCACATCAATATATTATATACATTGGCAATTTGGCATGCCTATCGACGATTCGAGAATTTGAGTTTAAGTTGTGGCAACTTCGGCATCCGCAGTACCGTCCGACAATGGACGCGAGCAAGTTACGACCTGTTGTCCTTTCTCCTCTGGCCCAACAACTCAACAACAAATGCCGGAGGAAGTCGCGTGAAGTGCGATAATTTATGTGAAACAGTGCAACCTCTAAGCAAAATATCGACCAGAAAGCAAGGAAGTCAGTGAGACGAACACCAAAGCAATGGCGCACTGGCAAGCAGGGAAGTGTAAGGGCAACTCTGGACGTCTCACACAAGGCGGCTGGGCAGAGGGGAATCCTTAGAGCTAGCTACAACAAGACGGAGGGTATCTACTCACCTGGGCAGAGGGGAATCCTTAGAGAACGAGGTAAGGAATCCCCGTGCCCAGGTGTCACTATATACCCGGAGCGTAACTAGGGTAGCTGATGTGTCAGGTACGCGGACATGACAGAGATCAGCTGATCCTTGTGTGGGCGTCACGGATCAGCAAGTGAAACACACCCCATCAAGGAACAGCAAGCGGTAAGGTGCATACCCGAGGGAAGCGGTCCGGGGGTACAAGGCATGTGAGGCTGAGGCCCAAGGGGTCCGAGATCCGGAGGTTGAGCCTCAAAGGCCGAAAGGCCGGCCGGAGCTCTGGAGGATCAGGGTGAAGGCCAACGACTTCTGGAAACACTGCGTAGGGGCAACCTCAGGGGTTTGGGTCAACGTCCGGAGGGTTCGGAGCTGCGAGGCTGTGAAACTCCGAAGCGCCGAAGCTCCGAAACACCGAAACACCGAAACACCGAAACACCGAAGCTCCGAAGTGCTGAAGCCCCGAAATGTTGAGACGTTGAGGCGCCGCAGATTCTGGGACTGCGAGAAGCTACGAAACAGCGAAACTCCGAAACGCCGAACCGCCGAAGCTCCGAAACGCCGAGGCATCGTAACGCCTAGACACCACGAGCCTCGGAGGTTCATCAGTGGCTGTGAACCGCCGGAATCGCCGAGGCTTCGGAGCGCTACAGCGTCAAAGCACAAGAACGCTAGAAACCTCCGGAACGCTGAAGCGCTGAGGGCTTCGGAGGTTGTCCGGCTGTGGCTGTGAACCTCCGAATCGCCGAAATCGCCGAGGGGAATCGCAGAGGTTCTGAGACTCCGAAACTGGCCAGAAACACCGAGAAACCCCGAGGTGCCCTCGGGGTCGTGTGGCCGGGTTTGGGGGTCGAGGTTGAGGGCCCGGGACTCCAAGAGCTAGCTCCGAGAGCCGGCGGCAATAGCCCCTAAGAAGCCGGGGAGCTGGGGGGCTTGAGCGCTAGGTTGGAAGGGCTGATGCAGCTGGGCGAGAGGTTCCGGAGGTGGTTCGGTGGTGGCTGCGAACCTCCGAACCTCCGAACCTCCGAATCGCCGAACCGCCAGGGGGCCTTTGGCGCATGACCCGGAGTACGCAAACCTGGCTAACAGCTCGCCGGAGCAGGGCCAGCAGCCAGGGGAGGAGGTGAACCTGGGCGGGGTCAGACGCAAAGGGTTATACGTACTGAGCCTGCCCGCGGACTGGCCTGTATGGCCACAGGTGTCGTCCGAGAGGGACAGAGAGTGGTAAACTCTCTGGAGAGGGTTTGATCCATTAAGACCATGGCGAGGCGGAGGCGGGGGCGGGGATGAGAGAGAGCGGGCCGAGGTCGAAGCTTCCATGGTTCCTTCGGAGATTGTTTGGTAGTGGTTGCAAACCGCCGAACCGCCGAACCGCCGAACCGCCGAATCTCCGAATCGCCGAAGCGCCGGATCGCCGAATCGCCGAGACACCGGATCGCCGAATCGCCGAGACACTGGGTCTCCGAATCACCGGACATCTGAGTTGCTGAACCTATGAAGCTCCGAAGGTGGTGCGGAGAGCTCCAGAGGTTGTGAGGTCGATCGTGGATGTTGGTGAGTGACATCCGGAGATTGACAGGCTCGGAGAAAGGGCTTCGGAGGTTGGTAGCTACCCGGAGGTACTGGGATGCGTACGGAGGTACCGGGAGGAATGTGGGGGCATCGGGAGGCATGCGGACTGGGGGTACGGGGTGTCTGCAGGCTGTGGGCTGTGCAGAGCAAGCACGTAAAGGGGGGGTTCCCCTTACA